TCATATCCTGATTTTGTTAAGATTTTTACAAAGAATGGTGGATATAATTGAAATGAGATGAAAAGTTGATTGAAATGTTGCTAGAATTAATTGATCAGCATTTGAGGCACAATAACAAAAGGAGTGGAAATGAGAGATAGTGATAATAGGACTGTGTAGAAATCCTTCATCTTTACAAGACGTAATATAAGAACATTCATTCGGGTCTGCACAGTTTAAAATGCATGACGTTTATATGTCATGTGATGTATGTATAATTAGGATGATACGACTATTAGGATTTATTAGCAAATAGAGTATTAATTAGGAGAACAGCATCTTACCCACATGGCTAAATCAACATTGACACTCTCATTGAAATTGGATCCACTTCACAAGTTCACAATGTATTTTTATTGAGAAAATGTGTATTTTATAATTAATTTCATTCACTCTAGTTGACTTATGCTTAGTTTAATGATTAACATATTGACCCCTAGACATCTTGACTTTTTCATAACGGGTCCCACGCATGTGGGGCCAAAGGATGGAACTAGTGAGCCCCAATACGAATACGTAAAATAACCCCAGGTTGACACTACTTATTTTTGCTCATAAAAAAAAGATATTTATATGTTGCACATTTTCCACACCTCATAAAAATATTATTATGCCACGTGGCATCTCTCTTCCTCACCTCACTCTTGCCACGTGGCTTATTTGGTTGACTTCATCCTCTCGGCCGGGTGAATTTATTGTTTTCTACACAACTAACTGCCCGTGCCAATAAGGTAGAGTAGAATTTTCCCAAAAAACGATAGTCGAACACACTAATCAACAGCCTCTCGGTTAGACAGACTAATCTACGGCTTCTCAGTTTGACCAACTAATCAATTAGTCGGGCACATTAGTCAATGGATTCTCGATTTGGCCAACCGAACCCACACAATTACATCTTTTGTTCAATAAATAGTCTTTTGTAGTAGTAGCAACAATAATCATATCGAAGCTGCTATCAGGCTGTCTAACTGTTAGGATCCATACTTTCTCGCAAAAAATGCATTCTATAAAATAACATATTTTCCTTCACGAGTTGGAGGAGTTGGCTTAACTTTTGAATTTCTTCTGATTTTTCAATCTCTTTTGTGCAGATGGAATGGGTCTTGAATGAGGTTTTACGTCTATACCCTCCAGCACCAAACGTGCAGAGGCAGGCGAGGCACGACATCCGAGTGGGCGATTTGGTAATTCCGAACGGCACCAACATGTGGATCGACGTCGTGTCGATGCACCACGACGAAACTCTGTGGGGCAAAAATGTAAACGAATTCAAACCCGAGAGGTTCAAGGACAGCGTGCACGGCTGGTGCAAGCACAAGATGGGTTTCTTGCCATTTGGATTTGGAGGGAGAATGTGTGTTGGGAGGAACTTGACCATCATGGAGTATAAGATTGTGTTGAGTTTAATCCTTTCTAGGTTTTCATTCTCCTTGTCACCTACTTATGTCCATGCACCCTCTATTATGCTGTCACTTAGGCCTATGCGTGGCTTGCCACTTATATTTAAGGCTATTTAAGTAAAGGTCTTGTTTCTACTATTTGTATTGTTGCTTTGTTTTTCTTTTAGGGATTATGGTCCCACTTTCATTTTTATAGGGGTACACTGTCATTAGATAATTAGATAATGTAATAAGAACTATGCATTTTCTATATCTCCACGTACGGCCTGCATGTACTTCTATAACATTCCAATTTCTAGCCACCTCTAATTACCACCAAAAAACGATTAAGAAAAAACAAAATAACATAAAAAATGAAAAAAAAAAAAAAAATATTAATGGTTTCAAGTTTAAACTAACATGAACAGGAAAAGCTACTTAAACTATCTATAAATCCATAATAAATTTAAAAAATGCATTTTGATTTTTAAGGTGCAACATAATGACTGTCTAGGGGAAGTAGTAGAAAGATTACTTGTTCTATTTTATCCCAAGGCTGATTGAACGAAAAATAACACGTTCTATTTCGTTCACACTCATCAGTAGTAAAAAAAAATAACAATTGAAAAAATAACAATTCAATCGTATGGCAAGTGTAGCAATAGTACAGTGAAACAGAAGTGCAGAACCTCAGAAGAGAGGAAGACTTGCCGGAAAACGAACGTGCATCCATTGTTTCTCGTACGACACCAGGTGGCTCCATCCGATTTGCTCCAGCAAAGAAAGCTTCAGATCGTAAAATTTCTTCTTTGGGGGGTGGCCGTCCTCTTGGATCATGTCATTTAGCACCTGGTTTGAAAAATCGGACAGTTAAGAATATTACACCAATTTTTTTTTATGTAATAAATGTTCTCCTTCTGTTTCCATAGTTTCATGTCACATTCCATTTTCAGCCTAGCTTACACTTTAAAATGAAGTACCTTTAGTGCAATTCCAAGACGCCCTTTACGTCTCTCGTGTATAACAAAGAGAGTCCCAAAGCGCGAGGATTTTACATGAACCCATTTTTTGAGTTCCTTGAAGTTCTGTTCAAATAGATCTTCATGGCCCATTGAATCTAATGTAGCTTTAGCTTCCTCATCAACATTTTCACTCTTCTACAACAACCATATATTATCATCATAACAATAACACATCTTTAGCAACTGTTAAAGCCACTTTTCTTCTTGCAGATCATAAATTCGGTTAACATTGATGTATCATTACCTTCAATGATTCAATCTCTGCTAAAGCCAGTCCCTTTTGATATAAAGCATCTGCCAACTGGTTTCGGGTTTGCTCCATTTTCTTCTTTTTCATCTACATGGTGAAGTCAATTGTCATTACAAAGATTATCCCCAATAACAATTCAAAACAGGACGTAAACAATGTATGAACGATCTCTAAACAGCAATTTTTTTCCAAAGAAAATAAAAAAATATTAAATGCTCACTTCTGCATCCTCATCATCGGGATCACTTTTATGTGCCAAATATATCGCCAACTCATCCGTATCAATGCTTTCGATAACCTCGTTTGCCGCTCTAATAATCTGCAGAATGCGTATTATGTTGAGAAATCATACACAAAATATCCATAGTATTGGTATCTATCTACAATCTACATGCAAGTTAGTAAAATAAATAGGGACCATCACAATCTAGGTCACATGTAACATATTTAATTTTGTTAGGAAATGGGAACATTATTATCGAACATCTAGCTTCTGCTTCAGAATTCAACTTCCCGAAAATGACTTGTTAAAGATAGTACTTTATTTCTATTTTATTTTTTCTCCAAAATAATAACAGATAAGATAACAAGTAAGCAAAAGCAGGCAAATCATTGAATTACCTCTTCATAGTGGTGAACCTTGTCTTCGACATTGTTCCAGGATATCAAGACTTCCAAAGTTTTAGCAAGCAATGGTGTATATTTAGGGTACTCTGACTGAAAAATGCAAAAAGGATGATGATTAAAAGGGAGTTTATCATTGATCTACCAAAACTAAGCAATAAATAGCTTGTTATGAGACTATCAGACAACACAAAAACAAACAACAAAATATATAGCATGGCATAATAAATAAAATTGCTAGGATTAATTAAGTTGCAACATTAGATAAAGGCATCTTAGTTGAGGACCAGCTCACACCAATAGATACCATCATATTTGGAAATGAAAGAAAAAAAAAATATGTCATTTACCTTTTCATTATACATCCAGTCCCTTGATAAAAAGATTGCTGAATCTCAATCAAAGCTAATTTATTTATCATCATATTGAATTAAGATGGGCAATATCAGGTAATTTCATTTGATTAAAGCAGGAATGAGAACGAGAACAGAAGTGTGTGAAACAAACTGAAAAATACCTGAGAATGAAATGAAATATTTAGTAAGTACAGTATTATATTGAAAGGTGTAAATATGGGCTCAACGGTCATTGCTGTTCATGTTCATGATACATTCGAAAGTAGCTGATGATTGACTCTTTAAGTGGCTGGAGATCATGTTCCACATATAATCTCACGCATCAAGATTGCTCATCTCAGAATATATAACGATTATTAATAATTTCACAAAATGAAAAGGTAAAAGAGTACTAGTTAAAGGGTGGAGAATGTGGAGAATAATTACCTTGAGTGTGATGGATAACTTTCTCCAATCAGATCGTTCCTCATCAGTACTTTGCTTTAGATTGGAGAGAACCCTTATTTTGGCATCTCGGACCTTGGTATAGCCAAGATGAGTTCCAATACCAAGGAATAAGAGAATTTACAAACAAAATATTAGTTTTCAATTTTAGACTTCTCCAGTAACTATGAGAAAATAATAAAAAATCTAGAGAAAAATAAATGGAAGTATACCTCTTCCTCCAACTGTTCGGACACAGTCTTACTGCCACTTGACAAAGATCGTTTACCTTTATCCCCATCAAGCTGATAAAAATAAATAAATAAATAAAATACATAGAGGACGTTGAATTAAGGAGGAAAAAGGGAGATTACTTAACTGGGTCTTATATAGTACAAGATATTAATATAGGCGAGAGTAACGGTAAAATCCATATCATGTCTTTCAAAAGGATTACGTAGAAATCTGTTTCTTTCTATCGAAAACCATAGATTGAAATATCGAGGGAAAATGAACCTAATTTTACCTGTGCTGGTGGAACTATACATGATATGGTGTAAAATCCAGGTTTCTTTTTACGATTCTTAGCACCATTACTAACCCCAAATGAAACCTTTCCATATGAGATTACCCCAACCAAAACAGACCCAGCCGAAACGCCCTGTAAATATGTACCAATATAATCATAACCATATTAATTGCCTCATTTTGTTGGGAAGGAACAGATGATAAATCTTCTATAAGATAGCTGAAAGCTTTAAGTGATGTAAAACCTTTGGAAGCTTGTCTTTTGGAGGAGGAGCCACATAAAATGCTTCCTTTGCTCTATCCTCCGTATAGATACAGTAACTCAATAAGAATCAATTGGAGACCGACTGATAAGAAAACTAATGGATGTTTAAAATAAGTAATAAGATGAAAGCATACCCAGGTATCAAAACTGAAGAAGTGAAGTTGCTTTTACCCGTCACTGGGCCATCAGGCTGTGAATAAAAGCTCAACTGAATGGTATCCTACCGAGAAAACCATATGCTTGTCAAAAAACTATTTCTAGAATAGGAAAATGACATCAAACTTAACATACATAGTTTACTGTCAAGATAGCTCACCTTCTTCTCCAAAATTTTCTCAATAAATAGCACCAAATGTTTCATCTTGTCCAGATACTGGACATTGTCATGCCTGAAACAAGGTGCAACCACAAACTATAATCACATTAATCAACCACTTAAGTTCTTACGCTTGGTAAACCATTCCATCTTCAGTTTGAATTGTAGCATATAAAAATATAGAGTTTAATATTCGAAATACCTCAAGTAAAGCTGCAATGTATATTGACCCTTGGGGAGTTTAGCAGCACGTGGATAAACATCACCCACTGCATATACACACTACATTCACAATACTGTAATATTAGTCAATACAAANNNNACAAAAAAAAAAAAAAACCAGCAACACTGTAAGAAAGTCAAACAACAAACAGAAAGGAGATTGAAAGGAGACCAAAATGTTGTGCGCAAACAAACTAATTGCATTTTACATGAAAAACACCATCCACTCACCTTGTTTGTATCTGATATCATGTAAAACTGAGACTCAAATTTATTATCATACTTCCGATAGTTGAGTGACGGGACGAGAGGCATTATTTCAGCACCCTCTTCAAGTCTGAACTTGTAACTACAGTACCGAAAGAGAAGTTCAATCAAATATCTTCATAAGAACAAGCGGATAACACACGAGAAGTCGAGAATAACCATGAACTGAAGTAAAACCCACGTTAATAAGAGTGCCAATATCTGTTTGCCTGAGGGCAGTTTGTCCCGCTCTGCAGGAAGCGTGCTCAGTTTAGCATCGACAGGCCGGTAAGGGATTCTAACCTGCAAGATTTAATGCATGAAGGAAAGCGAGGTTGCTCAGGAAGAGGAAGAAGGAAGACAAAAGAAATAAAAGATTAATAATACGGAATACAATGTTGACAAATCAACAACAAATATTATAAGACTCACTTTGTTTAGAACTGCTGCTAGAGCAAGATTCTCCAATGAAAGAAGAGCCTCAGCAACAATACGAACAGGTGCTTCACTTCCATCAAGTACAATTTCTTCTTTGTTGACGCTGATGCCATGAAATGCAATCTGAAAATTTGCATTTAAGTCCAGACAGAAGTAACTAATTTCACAATTTGGAATGAATAGCACAGACAGATGCAATGGGTTATTAGAAATCTAATGCATAACCATTTCCCAGTGAACTCAAACATGAAGTTGGCTGATACTACACAGATGAAAGAAATAAAGTTATTTTGATGCAAATATCCATTTGACAGAAAGAAGTATTAACTTGATCATTGGCAGAATATAAAAAATTTTAAGTGCTAGATAATAAATCCATGAAACATGCAAACAGCATAACCTTTTTCTCAATGAACCCTTGCCTGTATATGGACAGAGGGGTTTCACAATGACTTCAATAGAAAAGAGGGATACATAGGAGGAGCAAGATATCCACCTGATCTCCTAACAGTGAGAAAAAGAAAATAAAAAAATGCAAGAAAATTTTGGAGAAAATAGAATTAAACTAATTGCTTTTCCTCGACGCTTCTTAACCTTACATATGTCAACATAAAACATAAAAATCTAGGCCTGCAGAACACAAAAAGCATTACCGAGAAGCAAATCCACATTTCATGATTCTGAAGACCAATTATCTTCAAAATGAACAAAGGGTAAAAATAATTTTGCATATGCATGCAAAATAATCCATTGCACTCAAGTGACATGAAAGTGTACAATAAATGAAGTTCAGCGTTTGATTGGTTAATTGTAGAGATAGCAGTCATAAGTACCCAGTTCCATCCAAACCATCTGTGTGCTGAACTTGTCTTTTCAGTATAAAGTCATGTATGCATTGCAAATAAGAAACATCTTCTACTATTAGCAGGAAATAAATATACCTCGAAATCTACAATAGTTGTATCATGGCTTCCTACACCACTCGACCAATACTGAGCAACTGCTAGTTCCATAGTTAGACCACCCTTAACCTCAAACGAATAACTTTTGGAAGAAGGAGAAGAGAATGTGGCAGCAGTTTCCCATTTAATTGGTCTTTGCAGAGGAGAGATCTGTGAATCACAGGCATGTCAACAAACTCCAGACACTTTTTGCTATAG